GCCACGTCACTGATCCATGGGGCTTGCGCCATGTCCCTGATCCTTTACCATGCCTCCTTATTCTCTCCACAATGCCTTCTTTTATGATCATCTCTATATATTACTAGCAATAGTCATTCATCCGCGTGCGAGTGCATGTGCAATTTAGGCACTTGGGCGCTAGGACAAGAAGAGTTGCTTTATGGGTCTGAAGACTCTAGACGGAGTACCAGTGCAGAAACATGTCAAACCGTGAATGGCTAGAAAAAGCGACAAATCAAATACAAAAACAGACGTCTGATCATTGGACACTCTTAAAAAAAGGTCAAATCTGCTCCTACTTGTTCAAGAAGCAAAGCACATCGTGGAGATTCGAAACTGCATGTCTGACACATGGGCCCAGTAAACCACGTCCTCCTACAAGCAAAACCCCTCCATTAATTCTTCTAAAACCCTCTTAAATTCTTGAAGCTTCAAGAAAGATATACTAGATCGAGGGGAAACCCTGTGCACGGCTTCGAGTCTGCAACGCATACGCTGCGCCATGGCCCTCCTCGCCGCCTCCCGCCGGGCCTCCTCCCTTCCCATCCTCCGCCGAGCCTCCTCGCAGCTGCTCCGCCCCATGGCCCCGCCGTTCCCGATGATCAGGCACAGCTCGTCCTCCTCCATCTGCGCTGCGAAGACGGCCTTAATGAACGCCGCGATGGACACCGTCAACGCCGAGCATGGCTCCAGCGCCTGGGCCGCCGCACTGGACTCACTCCGGGCCGCCACCGACTCACTCAGCAACGCCTCCTTCGAGCACCAGCTCCTCCACGGCATCGACTCTGCCGTCAAGTCCTCCGAGCCGCTCCGTATCGCCGAGGTACGTGCACTGAATATACGCAGATCGATCTCTTCACCGATGCGATGATGATCCCCGTTCCCTTTGAAAAAGCATGTTGTCTACTAGTGTCAAAAAATATCTTACATTATGGGACGGAGGGAGTAGTATTTTATGTAATTAATTAATCATGCGTGAGACACATAGTGGTGATTAGCGGGTTTTTGTTGTTCATGCCCTCAATTTTTTCCCCATTGTAAAACAGATGGAGGATACCGCGGGTTGCTTCCCCTTCGAAGTCAGTGAAAACAGATACTTTGTTGGCTACGATTTTAAAAGATACATTACTCTTAGAAGAACTTTTGAGGACGAGAAGATTGAGGTTGTGACTCGTACGGACTGCCTTGAGACGGATGGAAAATCGTCTTTGGAATCCTTACTCATGCAGCTGGAACATGGCAAAGGTGAGAAGAAGGCCTCAAGACCTAGCCTCACCTTTGATGTCATCGTCTCCAAGAGCAATGGCTATAAACTTCAATTCACCTGTGTTGCGTATCCGGACGACGTCATCATCTGTTCCATGAATATGACGCCCGGGGGTTCGCCAAAAGAGCAGGAGCTACTGGAGGATATGTATAAGTATGACGGTTTCAAGTAAGTACCAAAACTGAACCTAGCTTAATTCATATATTTTGCCCACCACCGACAAATTGATTAAATGCTCTCTTAATTTGCGGATCTGGTACAGTAATCTCGATGAGAATCTGAAGAAGTCATTCCACAACTACGTGGAGCTGCGCGGGATCACGCCGACGACGATGAACTTGTTTCGCGAGTACATTATTAGCAATGGCACCCGCAAGCAACACTTTTGGCTGAACAAGCTGTCAGATTTCGTCAAGAAAGATTGATCTTCATCTTAATTTAGTTATCCTACTAGAGCAACACGGTCGTTTTCTAGAGTAGCGTGCATGATCGTTTTGTTTTATCTGCGCATGTTTAAGACCGTTTTCTGTAACTATGATTTTCTCGAGGTACGTAGAGTTGAAACCATTTTAATTAGGTTGTTTATTCACTATATTGGCTCTGCTTATTTCTAGCCTATTCTTTAATTCTCAAGTTTAGTTGTTTTTGATTTAGTCCTGTACGCCGTTAAATAGTATTAGCCAAGTCACTTCGAAGCTGAAATAATTACAACAAAGGAAAAACTTTAGAAAATCAGTTTTGCTAAAGCACATCTAGATGTGCCATAAGTATTGCACATCTAAATCATATTTCATTGATCTTACGTCAAGATTCGTGTGAATATTTTCTTTTTCTTTTCTATTTTCCTTTTTGTGCTTGATTCATTCACTTAGATGTGCAATAACTAGGGCACATCTAGATGTGCCCTAGACACACCCTTAGAAAATTTAGTAGGATTATGAAGCCCTTCAAACAAAAAAGGCCTTCGAAGCAGGAGAAAAGAAGACGCAAATCGTCGCAAGGACCATCAATTTTTCTGTCAGACCAGAAATTCATGTTACTTAGTAAAAGACTGATATTTGATGCCTTAATGCTACTTAGGTGGATGTACAATTTGGAAATATACCTTTAGTTGTAGAAAGGTGCAGTTGAGAAGTTGTATGTTTTAGTCCTAGAGTTGCACTTTTTGTTTCCAATTTTAGGTTCCATGATGTGCAACTTGAATGCCTAAAAACTATCAATTGTGTGGTCTCCACGTCCTCCTTTGTTCTATACCACATTGGAGGTTTATGTGGAATAAAATCAAGCATTTTGCTCTCTCGAAGTTCATAATTGGCTTGAATAAAAGGGTTTTCTTGAACTTGGAATAAGGCTGACGACGAGTTATGACACTCTAGTGTTCATAAGTGAAGATTTTTTACGTGAAAAATATCGCAATAAAATCAAAGAACTATTTCACTGTGTCTTTTGGCTTCAATTTTCCTATATCTTTCACTATTGGCGCTGCTACGGGGCAGTTGGTAGATCTTTTTAAAAGATCCGCCGCCTCGCGATCCATCGGATCTGATTGATTGAGCACCAAGTGTCATTCTATGCTCTTGCAACACAGGTCTTGTTCAGAACTTTTCTGGAAAATGGGTCATGTTGTAGAATTTTATGCAACATAGGTCAAGTTCAGATTTTTTTTGGCAATTGAGTTATTGTTGCAGTTTTTTTTCTGCTCAGAAATGATGGAGGCGGCCGACGACCGTGACAGCGGAGCGCTCTCTTGCCGGCGGCAGCAACGATGCAACGAGTGTGTTTGGCGACAGCATGGCTGTGATAGGCCGGGTGATCCCAATCATTTCCCTTTAACTATGGGAAATGTTCTTCGCTGGTCGACCGGCTAGAGACTCCGTTGGCCATGTGCGCTTGTGACACTTGGCATGGGCCCCAGCCGGC